GATCTGAGTGGTTTCCCCCAACTATATACGGCTCGCATTTTGGAGGGTACCTGATTTGGGCACCCTCACTTCTTTGGCGCCTTCTTCTGTACCGGGTGCTGGCTAGCAAGTATGCTTCGGGGTTTAGGGCGTGCATGGGGTTCAGGGTTTCAAGCGGCCCGATTTGTTACATGTTAGTACCATTGCACATCCCAAGATCCTGGACTACGTACTTAGTAAGTGCCCCCCCACCAGATTGTAGGTCTTGGTCACGCAGGATATCAGTTGCTTGAGTTTGGGCTTCGCCGGGTGGTCTGGGTACTCTTGGCGAGGCAGCTTTCATTCCCAATGCGATTCACCTCAACTGCAAGCCCTGAGATTATTTACGAAACCTTTCAAGCACTCGCCACATGCCCAAACAGAAGAACTTGCAAACATAAAGACGGCATACACTTTGGCCTTCAACAAGCCCCCATAGATTTAGGGCTTTAAGGCCAGTGTATACACCACTCGGGTACACGAGAATCTTGATCAAGCATTGAATTAACCCCACCCCTAAACCCTAAACCCTAAACCCTAAACCCTAATCACCACATCTCCAGACCTGAACCTGCACCTCCGCAATCCTCCAATGTGGCAAGTCCGAGCTTCGCGGTTTTGCACTTTACTGGGTGGGTTTAGGGTTTAGGGTTTAGGGTTTAGGGTTTAGGGTTTAGGGTTTGGTGCAGTATCTCGAGGTCCTTACAGTAAGGATCCTAGTATTTAGGCTGCTATATTAGGGTCCCTTATTTTGAGAAACCCCCCCATGTAGAGCGTAAAAACAGGATCCTTCGGGTTGCTGTGACTATAAAGGGTTTGCACTACTAGTTATACCCTAAACCCTAAACCCAAAACCTTAATGCCCTGAACCCTAAGCCCCAAACCTAAAACCCTAATACCCTAAACCCTAAACCCTAATGCCCTAAACCCTGAACCCTAAACCCGCATACCCTAAACCCTAAACCCTAAAGCTCAGGCCTGATACATGTATCCCTCGACTCTCAGACCTGATCATTGAACATGCAGTTCTGATCTGGAGACGGAAGAACCCTTGCATGTTACCTGTAGGCTCATACCCTATCCTTTTTTGGGGGTATCTACTTTTGGATATAACAGATCCGAGCCATAAAAGCTAGGTACCCTAAAAAAGGGGGAGTGTATGAGCCTCTATAGGTACCGTCGAGACAAGAATGGGCCTAAACCTCAGACCTCCGACGTGCCCGTCCTTTCATGAAACGGCGGCGGGTCTCCTTTTGTAGACAGTAAAGACATACACAGGTATGCTAAACCCCATCCCTTCACCCTAAACCTAAACTAAGTTCCCAACCCTAACCTAAACCCTTAACCCTAAGCCCTAAAGAGCCTAAACCCTAAATCTTAATCACCCTTAACCCTAATCTTTTAAGCCCTGCACCCTAAAAGGGCTGAACCCCTAAACCCGAACCTACTAAACAACAACCGTTGAAGCCCGAAGCTCGGGGTGGCCTGAGGAATTTTGCATTCTGTTCTGCCGCAGGCCTCCATGGTGGCACCGTTCTCCACGGGCCGCCTGGGCCAGGGTGCAGCCAGGGCTTCGTTCTTTCGGAAAACTCAGGGCTGCTGCTGTAACTAGGTCCGTGGGGTTTAGGGTTTGGGGCTTACGGCGGTCTTCTACATGATGGGTTTGGGGTCTACATGTACATTACTGGCGCAAAGTCCGTTAGGTGTAGTGTTTTCGGTCCGTGGGATCTTGCAGCCGCAGTCGATTCGAAGATGCTGAGTGAAAAAGACTCTTCGGCGACCGTCTCCGCGAAATCCACATGTGATGCGCCCTCGACGGCTGTGGCTGCAAAAATCTCGGGCTATGTAGCAACGTTGTGATGCGTCAAGAGGCGAAATTCATGCCGGCCCGGTATATATATATATATATGAACACGCCCTCGATCGAGATCGATCCGTCTGGACAGATGGAAATCTCTCGTCCTCTCGCGGCTGATCGCAGCTGAGGGCGACCCAAGACATCTCGGCGGAGCCGTTTGGGAAGATTGGCCTGGCACGTTGCCGTGAGGTGGCGCGAAGCGACGTTGCGGTTGGAATCGTCGGAATCGTAGGATGACTGAGATCGGCAAGCTGGTCCGCTGAAGCCTCCGAGATCCTGGCTTCGAACCTCCGAAAGCAAGAGGATCAACGAATACTAGGGTTTAGGGGTTAGGGTTTAGGGGTTTGGGTTTAGGGTTCAGGGGTTTAGGGTTTAGGGTCTAGGGTTTAAAGTGAAACCCTCAACCTCGCAACCCTGAAGCCTGAACCTTTTCAGGAGAAGGTCCAAACGCAAACAGCCCAGAGCCCCAAGCCCTCAAACTCCCCAAACCCTGTAACTCCCTAAACCCTCCAACTCCCTAACAACTCCAACTCCCTAAACCCTGTAACTCCCCAAACCCTCAAACTCCCTAAACCCTC